TGGAAGGTGTTCCTGGCCATGGCAGGGAGTGAAATTGGATGAGCTTTAATATCCCTTCCAGCCCAAACCGTTCCATGACTCAGTGACCCATCAGTGGAGCCCAGGCAAAACCTGGTGTCTCCCAGTGAGGGCAGTGGACTGATGGTGAGGAATGAGAATTTGCAGGATGCTTTTTCTCCAGCCCAGGAAGGGCTTCCCTGGTGCTGAACACTGACAGCTCGTGGCATCCTGTGTGTTATTCCTGTCCCTGTGGTGCCTGCTGGGAGCTGGAGACACTGGGTGGTGCACACCTGGGCTTTGTGGGACTCCTTGGATGTAGTTTGGGATAATTGTAGTGCCAGGACAAGAGGGGATAGCTTTAAACTGAAAGAGAGTTGGGATATTGGGAAGGATTTGTTCCCTGTGAGGGTGGTGAGGCACTGGCACAGGTTGCCCAGATCAGCTGTGTTTGCTCCATCCCTGTGAGTGTTCCAGGCCAGGTTGGACAGGCATTAGAGCAACCTGGTCTAGTTGGAGGTGTCCCTGTCCATGGCAGGGGGTGGGACTGGATGATCTTTAAGGTCCCTTCCCACACAAACTACGATTCTGTGATTCCTTTTGGGCAGGCAGGAGGAGGAAGGTGGATTCTGTTGCCCACCCTGCTGTCACCCCAGCACGGCCACAGTGATAGCTTTGGAGCAGTGGAGGCTGTGAGAGATGCTCAGCTCAGCCAACTCAGCTGGAACAAGCTGGCATGGGCTGACCCAGGTTCCTTCCCCCTTTTCTTGGGCTTTGAGGCATTTATGTAATTGTGCAGAGTGACATGAAATTGGGCCACGCTGTGCTCCTGCCTTGAGCTGAGCACTCGGGCAGGGATTGTTCCTCAGCCTCGGTCAATGGGCAGGAAGTAATGTCCTGGCAGGGGTTGGAGCTTGTCCATCACTGTGCTGTGCCTTCCCTGGTCTAATGATGGGTGCTGGGACAGCTCCCCAGGGCAGTGGCCACAGCCCCAAGCCTGACAGAGCTCCAGGAGTGTTTGGCCAGTGATCTCAGGCACAGGGTGGATGACAGCTGAGCCAGTGGGGTTGGTGTCTGCTCCTAGGAGTTATATAAACATGATAATCTATTACAAATGGTCCATTAAAACTGGCCTCATTGGTGATCAGATCCTGATGCTGTGAGGAAAGAGTTCCCATCACTGTTGTGGAGCACAGGCAGCTTTCGCAGCCTGAAGAGGCTGCTGGAATGCTGCTGGGAGGAGCACAGATGCTCATCTGGACAGAGTTCAGGGAATTAGAGGATATCCTGAGCTGGAAAGGACCCACAAGGGTCATCCAGTCCAACTCCAGGTCCTGCCCAGGACACAACAATCCACCCTGTGGCTGAGAGCATTGTCCAAACACTCCTTGAGCTCTGTCAGGCTTGGGGCTGTGACCACTGCCCTGGGGAGCTGTCCCAGTGCCCAACTAAGATGGTGAAGGAGAGGTGTGTGGGAGCCTGGAGAAGGAGATGGATTCAACCCCAGCCTGAGACTGCCCTGGAAATCCTCAGGGACACAGCTCAGAGCAGCAGGAGCAGCCCAGCGTCCCTCTCCCAGTGAGCATCAGAGCTCTGCAGGGTACAGAGTGCTCTGTCCTTGGATGCAGCAGCTCAGGACAGGTACAAACACAATACCCAAAGCTCAGGAATGTGTACACATTGCCAGGGACACAGAGTCCCTTTGTGTGCCGCAGGATGGAAGACACTGTGGACATACTTGGATGTTTGAAGCAGAAAGGGGACCTTGGGGGGAGTTTGGTTACTTCCTGTGCTGATGGAAAAGTGGCTTCAGTTTTCTTGCCAGATCTTTTGGGGTTGGCCTGTACCAGGTGCCTGTGGTGTGAGCCTGTGCCATTGCCCTGGTGCCTCTGTGCACTCTCCTGGGACAGAGCCCTTTAAATCCTGCCTGTTCCCCTGCCTGGCACCTCCACCTGTGCTGGAGTCTTCCCTGATGCCATGTGTGTTTCCAAAGCTCTGGTGCTGTCCCTGTCTAAACTCACCATCTACCCAGCCTGTCAGTGGGAGCTGGTCCTGCTTCCAGCACCTCAGCTGGTGGTTCCTTTTCCTTGGGAAGCTCTGGGCTGGCTTCCCCTGGGTGCTCTGGTTGTCCTTTGTCCTTGGTGGCCACAAGCTGCTCCCTCTCCTGGCTCTAACAGCTGCTCCTCGTGCTTGTCAGAGCTCTGAGCTGTGGATGCTCGGGGCTGGGCTGCAGATGGACCAAATGGTGACATAGGGAGGTGCTGCCCTGGTGCTTCATGAGCTGTTCTGGTTTGCTGCCTGCCCTGTTTGCCTCTGATTTTCATAGAATCACAGAATCATGGAGTGGTTTGGGTTGGAAGGGACCTTAAAGCTCATCTCATGCAACTCCTACCATGGACAGGGATACCTTCCTCTAGCCCAGGTTGTTCCAAGCCCTGTCCAACCTGGCAAGGAACATTTCCAGGGATGAGGCAGCCATAGCTGCTCTGGGGAGTTTTCTTCTCCCATTGTCCCTGGGCAGATGGGGTCGATCCTTGTCCCTTGACTACACTTCCTTGTCCCATCACATCCTTTCTGGTCAGCTTCATTGCCACAAGCTCTGGTGCAGCACCACACCATGTGCTGCTCCTGCTTCCACTGCAGGTTGATGGTCCTGTTGTGTTATCCAGATCACTCCAGCTCTTGTCTTTGGAACACAGGAATCAAAGGATGCTCTCTCATTTCCTTAGCTGTGGAGTTGCTCTGAGAGGTGGCTGAACATCCCTCTCAGTATCCACAGCATTTCCAAAGCTCCAGAAATAGAAGCCAAACGCCCACCTGGCAGGGAATCACGGGTTTCCTCCTTTCCTCACAGCCCAGAAGGGGGATGTGCTGCCCCCCTGTTATACCAGAGCCATCCCTGAGCTCCATGCCTGCCTGACTTGAGGGATGTCCTCATCCCCTGAATCCCTTAGGCCTGGCAGAGAAGCTGAAGGCAGGTTGTGCTGGTCCACGTATCTGAAATCCAGGAACAGGTGATGGAGGGAGGGGAGATGAAGGGGCTGCTCCCTGCTCTGCTGCCTTAGTGGGTTTGGGGAGCACCCATGGCTGAAGTTTGAGCATAAGGACGCTGTTCTCAGATCCTGCACAGGACCTCCTCCACTCTTCACTCTTTGTATTTACTTTGGGTGGTCATCCTCCTCCCTGGGGGAGCAGTGGGATGATCACAAACCATGTTATGCTCAGTGTGTCATTTTGGGTTGGTTTCCTGGTTTTAAATGACTGTGGAGTTGCAGGAATATCCCTGAGATGGTGATCATGGAGTTTCCTGCCCTCTGAAGATGTGGTGGTAGTTTTGGGTAACAGCTGTCCCTCTCCTTGGTGCCTATGTGATCTTTCCCTTGGGTGAAAGAGTTTGCCCTGCCCAGAGCAGAGCTCACAGAGCCCCTGCAGGTTCACTCCTGGTGCAGGGTGGAATGTGCATGTGGTGTGCATGGAAAGGGAGCTTTGGTGTGTGGCGTCAGCACAGTGACCCCCTGTGCCACCCCCAGCACTCAGCCCTGAACCAAATCCTGGTGTGTTGTGGTTTAACCCTAGCCAGCAACCAAGAACCACACAGCTGCTCACACACTGCCCCGCCAGTGGGATGGGGGAGAGAATCCGAAGGGTAAAAGCTAGAAAAACTCATGGGATGAGATAAAGACAGTTTCATTGAGAAAGCAAAAGCCACACACAAGCAAAGCAAAACAAGGAATTAATTCACTGCTTTCCACGGGCAGGAGGTGTTCAGCATCTCCAGGAGAGCAGGGACCATCACCTGTAACAGTTCCTTGGGAAGACAAACATCATCACTCCAAACATCACCCCCCTTCCTCCTTCTTTCTCCCACCTTATATACTGAGCATGATGTCCTATGTCCTTTGGTCAGTTTGGGTCACCTGTCCCAGCTGTGTCTCCTCCCAGGCTGCCATGCACATCACCAGTGTGGGAAGCAGCAAAGGCCTTGGCTCTGTGTGAGCACTTCTCAGCAATACCAAGAACATCTCTACATTATCAATCCTGTGCTCTGCACAAATCCTAAACACAGCCCCATACTAACCACTGTGAAGAAAGTTAACTCCACTTCAGCCCAAACCAGCACACTTTGACAGACACAGGAACTGTTTGGACACCTCCTCAGGGCTCTGGGTGCCATCCTGTGTTTCTCTCCCCTCTGCTCTGCTCCGTGGGGTCTCGGTGGCCTCGACCCCCAGCCTGGGAGTGCTGGGAGGAGGCAGGAGGTCCCTGCCCGTGGTGCTGACGGGTTATCACGGTCCAGGGGTAACCATAGAAACCATTCCTTCTCCATCCCTCCCTTGCAGATGACTCGGGTGACGAGGAGCCTGCCTCGCAGTCAGACAAGAGCGAGCTGCACGGCCCCCTGAAGAGCCTCTCGAGTAAGCTGGAGGACCTGAGCACCTGCAATGAGCTGATTGCCAAGCACGGGGCAGCCCTGCAGCGCTCCCTCAGCGAGCTGGAGAGCCTCAAGCTGCCTGCCGAGAGCGGCGAGAAGATCAAGGCGGTGAACGAGCGAGCGACTCTCTTCCGCATCACCTCCAATGCTATGATCAACGTGAGTGCAACCGCCGGGGCCCCAAATTCCAGGAGTGTCCTCCTCCTCCTTCTCCTTCCCCTCCTCTTCCCTCGCTATCCTGCCTCTCCATAGTTCCTCTTCCCTCTAGCACGGCCCTGATTCCTCCCTTTGCAGTGGCTCTGTGTGTTGGTTCCTCGGGGAGGGGATGGGATGTTGGGAAGAGACAGCCTGGAAGCTGCATGGACACGTGGAACCCCCCCAGGACACAGGTCTGCTCTGTCCTTAGTGTGTGCTCTCCTGGCGGGGGCTGTTCCAAATAGGTCATTTTGGATGTAAAGGGAGTTCTGAAGGTCTTTCTGCTGTTCCTGGGGGGAATTTCTGGCTGGCACAGAGCCTGTTGTCCACTGCAGGTTGAGACCCACATCACTCACATCCTTATTGCTTCCATGAGGCTGTTCCTGTTCCACACAGATGTGGGATTTAACCCCCTCGGGGTCTCATGCTGGCTGTGCTCTCCCAGCCTAGTTGTTGGAGGTCAGGAAGTGTGTGCTGGCACTGCCACTGCTCCTGCCTTGTGCAGCCTCACGCTGCTGTGTGATGATTTCTTGGAGACAGCTTGTGTTTGGGATGTGGATCTGCTTCCATCACAGTGAAACAGCCCTTCCTGGGAAGCCTGATTTGCCCTGGGGAGCTTTGGGACAGAGCAAAACTGAATCAAATATTTAAAGGAAAGGGAAAAAAAAGCCAATCCCAAAGCCTCACAGACCTGGAATAATGCATGAAGGCAGAGCTGAGGGAATTGTGAATGGAGCAGTGCTGTCGCCGTGCTGTCCCAGCCCTGAGCAGAAAGAGGTCGAGTGGTGTTTGATGTGGGCTTTAAATAGTGGTAATCATTCCCAGTGGGAGCTGGAGGACACTCAGAGCCCCTCAGACACAGCATCACCATTCCCACATGCAGGATTGTGCAGCCATGGGGGAGAAAGGACTTCCTGAGTGCTGTTTTGTGTTTTGGAGCAGTTTGGGGCTGCCTGTGCTGTGCTGTGCTCTCCCCACGGAGGGTTTGTCGAAGTTCTGGGAGTAGAGCTGGCAGCGTGGTGGGAGGTGCTGGAGGACCCTCAGCACTGCCCAGGTTTGCTGTCAGGAGGCAGAACAGTGATGAGATGTGGGCAGGGAATTGCTAGGGAGAGGATTTCTCCAGCAGCCTTTGGGAAGGGATGAGCAGAGCAGTATTTGCTGTGTCCAGTGCAGAGAGAACGAGGAGGAGGAGAAGGTTGTGGTGGTTGTGACGTGATGAAATCTTGAAGGAGACTGTCCTTAAGGTGGGAAATGGCACAAAAACTGTTGTGCTGGGAGAAAACAGCCAAAACATGATTTGTCCAAAATTTCAAGCAGGTAAGAGGGGCCAAGGGTGCAGTGGGGTGTATTCTCAGGTGGATGTCATAGATCCTTTTCCAATAGTATCCTTTGGTACTTCAGCTTGTGGCTGGGCATCCTGAGGAGATGCCTGAGTGGGACTAGAAGTGAGACTGGAATGAGTGGGACTGAAAGGAGCAGGATTGGAAGGAGCAGGACTGGAAGGAGCAGGACTGGAACAGTGTGGCAGCTTTGGGGAGTGGTTGTGGCTCTCCCAGCTCACTCTTGAATCCATTGTTTCAGGGGGAGGTGATGGAGCTGTGGGCAGGGGGACAGTGACCCCCAGGAAGCAGCAATGCTTTGTGAGTGGGTCAGAAAGGAGGGTGAGCAGGGCGGGGAGTGTGGAGGGGGTACTCCTAGCCATGCTGTTACCCCTTACAGCATGGATCCCTTTTTGTGCCTTGGTTGATCTTTTCAGCATGGAGTGATGCCTTCTGGAGCTGCCCAGGGAGCTTCCCATGGGGTGGGGGATGTTCTGTGCAATGCAAAGAGCCCAAAATCTTCTGTATTGAGCATGAAACAGAACTTCGGGGACGCACGTGGAGTTTCCTGGTGAAAATACTAGCTTGCTTTTGCCCACCTCCATCCCTGTGGGATTCTAAGAAGCACATATCCCACAGGTCAGGAGCACAGCGTGGTAGTTCCTTGCAGGAGCAATTAAACTGCCCCTGCTCTCCAGGTTTTCCCGGAGATATCTCAGCTGGCATGTGAAGGCTCTGTATCCATGCTCTGCCCTGGCCACAGCACCAAACCTCATGTATCTACCCTATGGAAGTGGATGGGATTTGGTGCTGCAGCTGTGAGCAGAAGGGGTGGGTGCTCTGGGGAAGGGATGGGTGCTCTGGGGAAGAAGGGATGGGTGTTTTGGAGAAGAGATGGATGCTCTGGGGAAGAAGGGATGGGTGCTCCAGGGAAGGGATGGGTGCTCTGGAGAAGGGGTGGGTGCTCCAGGGATGAAGAGATGGGTGCTCTAGAGAAAAGATGGGTGCTCTGGAGATGGGATGGGTGCTCCAGGGATGAAGGGATGGGTGCTCCTGAGAAGAAGGGATGGGTGCTGCGGTCCCTGCGCGCGTTTCCGTCCAGCTGCCTCTGATCCGATTATGTAAATGCCCCTGGAGCCAGGGGGGAGCAGCAGCTAGCAGGAGAAATAAATAAATATCTCTGGAAATGCAAGAGCTTTGCTGCGAAGGTGACCTCTTCCTCCTCCTCCTCCGCCCCCTCCTCCTCCTCCTTCTCCTCCTCCTCTTCCTCCTCCTCTTCTTCCTCCTCCTCCCTGCCTGCTCTGCGTGGTGCTGTGGCTGCTTTTCCTCCGGAGTCAGGAGCATCACCTGGTGCTGCTGGGCATGAGGAGAAAGGTCTGGGCAGAGGCAGAGCAGGACATGCTGGACCATTGTGTTACAGGTGAGGATTTAAGTGCAGGGACTGACTGTTGCAAGGCTTAAATTTAAGCCCAGAGATCTGAGTTGCCCCTTGGCTGCACTCCATCCATGCATGGAGTCTCACTGGGCACAGTCCAGCCATGCTGGGATTGAGGAGCCCCATGTCAGCCCCATGTCAGCAGGGCTGGGGAGGGAAGGTGCAAAGACAAGGCACAGTCTGCCATGGGAGAGGGGTAGGAGGTGTGTGAAGATGAGAAGCAACAAATTAATGGGCTGAGGGGAGGCCCAGAGCCAGGGAGCGTGGGGCTGAGGTGTGGAGACTCATCCAAGGTGCAGGGAAAGCTCCGTCTCATAGTTCAGCAGCAGCAGCCAGCAGGCAGGAAGGACGTGTGGCCACGCTGAGGAAGCCTGTTTGGGCGTTGGGAAGAGCTCCCAGGGCTGTGGGTGGTGCTGGAAATAGGGTTTTCATGGGAATGGGGATGTTACAGCGGAGCTCGGAGGCGGCCGAACTGCGTGTGAGAGTGATGTGGCTGGCTCTGTGCTTCCTCCAGGGATGGGAGTGTGGATAGCAGCAAGGCTTGGGCTTGGCTGTGTTTTTCTGGGGTAGTTTGTGTTTTAACTTGAAGTTTTAGAGGAGCAGAGGTGGAGGAAGGCCATGCCGGGGTGGGGAAAGGAGGGGTGAGACAGCTGGGGCAGGGGTGCAGTGCTGGGTGGGAGATGCTGCTTGGGCAGGAGCCCTCAGGCTGCCTGGAGCAGGTGTTCCTGGGGATACAAAGATCTCACCTGCCCTTGAGAGGCACTGGTGGGCCACTCCAGCCTGAATGCCAGCACCTGCTCTTGGAGGCAGACTGGTTCCCCACACAGGTTTTCCTTTCCCATGGGAATGAACCCATCTGGAGCCCCAGCACTCCAACATCAGCACAGGACATCATCCTTCAGCCTCAGGGAGAGCTTCTGAGTGTGTGAAACACAGGGCTGGAACCAGAGTGAGATGCACAATATGTGCTGCTTCTCCCCACTGGGAAGGGACTGTGGGATGTTGGTTTAAGCCTCTCTGGGATACTCAGCAGCATCCCAGACTGTCCAGTCCCAGCAGGATTTCTCCCTGTGGATCCTGCTGGGGCTGTGCTCTGGCTCAGCAGCAGTTAAGGGGTGGCTGTGTACCACATGCTAGTGGCCCCAGGAACTGCCCACCTCTCTCTGTGGCCACGCTGGGCTCCTGGAGACTCTGAGTGGTATCTGCCCCGTGGATTTGGTTTATTTGGAGATGTCCCAGGTGCTTGTGCTGGAGTGAGCTGCCTGGGCACAGAGCTGCTCCTCTGCCTCCCGGTGTCCCAGCTTCACTGTGGAGCACTGACCCCCTCTGTCCCATGGGAATGCTGCTGTGATTAATCCCTACTCTCAAAATTGTTTCCATATTAAATCAGGCTATGCTGAACACCTGCTCCAAGCTATCTCAGGTTCCCCAGAGCAGCCTCCAGTCTGGTGTTCGAGTTCTGACTGTTTGTTTCGGTGGTAGGTGATAGATCTACTCTGTGTGTGTCCGTGTCTGCTTGGAAAACTTCTCAGAGCTGGGAGGAAGCAGAATTCTGGGGTCTCCTCCCTGAGGTGGCTGTGAGGTCGGGGTGATTCCGGCTGTGTCCTGGTGCAGAGCTGGTTCCTGGTATGGACAGACATGTGATGCTGTGCCTTAGAGTCCCCAAACCCATCATGACACAGGCAGGACGATGGACCTGATCTCCTCTCCATGCTCCAGGCAGCAGTGAGGGAACAACACCCTGCTGGGCTGCTCCCAGTTCACCCCAGTACGGCCAGTGTGGCTGGAGGAGCTCTCCCTGCCGTGCTCCCAGGGGTTAATTCCAGCGTGGCAGCAAGCAAGCTCCGTCTTTCACCCCTGGATTTGCTTCCCCGGGGCAGGGCTTGCCCCCAGCCGCCCTCGGTGGCCCCGTGAGCTGTTGTGCTGGCTCCCCCCGAGCCCACCCGTGCCAGGGCAGGGCTCGTCCCCGTGCGCGATGCTCGGCGATGGCGCAGGAGGAGCTCTGCCGTGGAGCTCAGCCCGTGGTAATTATCTGCGCTGCGCTAACGACACGAGCACTAATCAGCGCGTTGCAAACCATGTCACCGACCCAGAAAAGCCTCGGCCCTGGGATTAAATCCCTGACCCAGCCCTAATCCCCCGCGGATGAGAGGGCTGCAGCGAGGGCTCCCTGTGTTCTGCCTGTTCTGCTGTGGATGTGCTGTGCTGGT